AAAAAAAGAACCTGCTTAGTTGCAAATACTAGGGAAAAATCTTTTTCGGACCAACTAAATTAGTAGTTTGTGATAGTTGGAGATATGGTTAATAGTCTGTAAAGTATATACTGAGGATTGGGTAAACTCTACAAGGGGGTAGTAGGTAACGGTAATGGCTTCAGCTTGCAAGTACTTGTTCTCAGACTTGACGTAAGTTACTAAATCTAGATGAATCTGGATTGTAGATTCGGATCACTTTAGTATCGATTCCTCAAGGATAAAGTAATCCTAAGGATATGGATAAAACATCTGGAACTTCTTGACTGACAATTGTAATGAAGATGTTCCAGTAATACAGGTTTAGTTATATTACAGAGGGGTTAAATGGATAACACCTGTAGTTGGGTTACAGGTATGACATCTAGTATAGAACCTGTATGATGTATAGGCAGACTACTTAAAATAGACATCAAAAGTATACGTGCGGCTAGTATGTACTCTCTAATGTAAGGGTTCTCTAGAGAATCCTTCGCTATATATACCTGAATAAAAATCCTAGCTCCCAAGAGGCTAGATATTAAAAAAAAATAAAATAAAATAAAAAATAAAGTTAAAATTAGGGTAGTAGTTATAAGTAAAATTATCTTTATAACATTTTTTATTAATACCCTAAAACAAGGTTTAAATACTTGTTTTCTTTATTTTTTGCAGGTTTTACTTTTTTTCTTTGTTTTTGTCTTATTAGGTAAATCAAAAGTTTATCACTTGATTAGCTATTACTGTATTAATTATGTGAGCGAATCTTGCTTTAGATGATCCCAAATAAAAAAATTTGAAAAATGGGTTGGTAAAATTGGTCATTCAAATAAAACTAAAAAATACAAAAAACGGCAGTCTAAACTAGAGTTGCTGGTGAAACTAAATTGCGTTGGTAAAACTGGTGATTATCTAAAATCTGATTGGCTATTAAGTGCAATAGCCAATCAGATTTTAGATAATCACCAATTTCACCAGTACAATTTAGTTTTACCGGCAACTCTAGTCTAAACTTACCTCTGGTGGATTAATTAAAAATGTCGGGAAGGCAATTTTGCATATATATAACTATTTATCTAAAATCTAATCTAACCTTAATATAAGATGACCCTAACCCTAAAGTTAATTCAATAAAATATATATTATATTCAGTGTTGGTTTGACCAGACCAATCTGACCATTTGACCAGACCAATTTGACTAATTTGACTAGTCCGGTCCAAGAATTTTATTGGTAAAATTGGTCAAATTGTATATAAATTTAATTATATAATATATATTATTATAATTATATATATAATAGACTTGACCAATTTGACCAATTTGACCAGACCATTTTGACCAGCAAAGTTTTGGTCGACCACTAATTTTAACAACACTGTATATATTATAAGAATCTATTCCGTTTTGGACGTCTCTCTTATACGTAATTTTGATCCAGATTACTTTCCTCCAATAACAAAAATTATTAATTGATTCTAAGTCAAATTTAAATCTACCGGTACTTATTAAATTGAATTCAAAATCAATAAATTAGCCGATTTAGAATTACCCATCACACAGAAATTTACAAAATTTTTTCAAATTCCTATTTTAAACAGATTCTCCTCTATTAGAAAAAAAATTCTTTTTTTTTTGAACAGTATTTTCAGGTTTTGAACGAAGTCATTTAACTAAGATATCTTAAGAATAAAAATTAATTATTTCCGATTTCCAGATTTCCGTATGTTAACTCTTTATTAATCGAAGTTATTTATTACAAGTATAAATTTTTTTCTATACACTAAGTGTAATTTTTTTTTAACAAAATTATACATGTATAATATATTTTAAATTTTGTACTTCATGTATAAGTTTTCAATAAATAAATACATCTCGTATAATACTGTATACTATACTCCTTTGACTGACTATACTATACATGTTATCTTAATACCTTTTATTATGATATGCTTATAAAAATTTTTTTATAAGTTTATTAATCAATTAATGCAGATTTTAATATGATTATAGAGGAGGAAGGCTACCAAAGCAAAAACTTATTTGATTTAATAAATAAACATAAGTAACATTTCAAAATAATTTTGACTTAGCGTTAGTAAAAAAATGTTGCACGAATACAGGATTACCCTATAAGCAATGTTAAACGAACACGAATTTTTCATACAAAATTGAGTGGCCATATTTTTATTTAATAACATTTTGAACACCCGTAAGGGAAATGTCCCATGACTATTATATAATAAAAAAAAAAAAAATTTGTTTGTAACGACAGCGTTTTTGCAATAGTCCGTCATACTGCATTTAGAAATTACATAACAGTAATTTGATTTCCAATTTATCTATTTTGCTGTAATTTTTTTTTTTTTTTTTTTTAAACTCTACATAAAGATAATAATCTCGATCTCTAGATTGGGCTAATACCCCCGAATATTGGGGCCAAATTTATATCTTGTAATTACCATCTCGCACATCGGATTTTCGACGATTGCAAATAATCGATTGGCGTAGAAATCCAAGTTTTTTGATGTTTAGGAATGTAAACTGTACCACAAAGACAATCTATATATAAGCCCACATTTTCAAATGAATATTTAGACTTAGATGAAATTCATTAATTTTCTGATTTAATCATTCTTTGGGGAACTCAAAAAAAAAAAAAAAAAAGAATTGTCAGAATCCCTTTTTTAAGTGCAATTCTTCTTTTTTTGATAAGCAATGCCACCATTATTTACGGAAAACTTCAAGGATGATTGTCCTTTACCACCCAAAGAACAGGGAAATCCAGATCGTCGTCAACCACTATATATTGGGGATTGGAAAAAATCTATTCCATACGTCGATGAAGATATTGCAACTGATAATCTAGATGAACCTCATATGAAACGAAAAGTCACAATTCTGAAAAAGTATCCAGACATAGAGAAATTATATGGATATGACATTTCCACCGTCCCAATCGTAATCGTAGCAGCAGCGGCACAAATTGTGGCAGCGTATGTTTTTGGACGAATTCTTACCGACTGGAATTGGACTATGCTTATTTATTGTTACTTTGTTGGAGCATCTTTAACACAACTTTATGGAGTAATAATTCATGAGGCGACACATTGTCTTGCAGCACCAACCAGATTTCAAAACAGGATTGTGGGATTAATAGCGAATATAGCTTTACCATTTCCGATTGCCATGTCCTTTCGTCGATATCATTTAGAACATCACACATTTCAAGGAGTTTTAGGTATGGATCCTGATTTACCAATGGAATGGGAATGGAAAATGATTCGTGGTAATTCGTTTCTTAAATTTGTTTGGTTGAGCATTTATCCAGTAATGTACGTAGCTAGAGGGGTGATTATGCAAAAAAGTCCACAATTTTGGGAATATGTTAATTGGGTTTTTACTATCACTACCAATATTTTGGTTTATTATTTTTGTGGTCTTAGAGGATTTCTATATTTGGTTTTATCATTATGGTTGGGATATGGTTTACATCCAGCAGCTGCACATTTTATTCAAGAACATTATACATTTGATGATGGTCAGGAAACCTATTCATATTATGGAATATTGAATTACTTTTTCATGAATATCGGGTATCATAATGAGCATCACGATTTTACCAAGGTAATTTATTTAAAAGAATATATTTAGTTATCAATTAATCACGTTGATTAATATGATCATTGAATTTGATCAAGGTACCATGGTCAAAACTTCCAGAAGTACGTAGAATCGCATCAGAATATTATGATAGTCTCGCTTATCACACATCATGGGTTATGGTTCAATGGAATTTTGTCACCAAGAAACAATTCGGACCACAAAGTCGTGTCGGTAGAAGTGTTGATGATCATAAGAAAGGACGTAAAATGTTGGGGAAATTGAAAAAGGAATTGTTGGACGAATGAGTTTGTACTCTTTTTTTACAGATTGTATTTTTTTTTATGGATCAGATGTGATATTAATGCAAAATCCATTTAGAATTTAAAGTTTTATTTAATTAATTTTGAAAGTTTATAATGTCTTATTCTATAGTATAATAATACATTATTAATAATGATGCAATATTTCCTTAAAATTTAGCTCTTTTGTATTCCACCATTTTATTAAAATTCTCACAAATCTCTCTTAAAGCTTTACCGACTTTTTCAAAATCAGACAAATCGTTATAAATCTGCGCGCTAGCTCTAACGTACCAATAACCATTATGTTTGAACGGTGATACATAACAATTATATTTATCAAATAAAAGATTATTGAGTGTTTCTAATGAAATTTTTTCGTTAGAAATATCGACGGGGAGACGGATATTAATCATATTTGGAATTATATGTTCTGGGCCTATGATTTCAGTGCCAAGAATCGAAGCAATTAGTTTTCCACCCTTGACAACTAAATCATGACAATAAGTACGAATTTTTTCTTCTCCACCGATTTCCCGACGAAACTCCAGTGCAGAGAGGACCGTCAAATAGGGACTAATAAAAAAAAAACATTTAAGTTTGTATTGTGTAAAATAAACAAATTAAATCCTTGAGAAGAAAAAAATGAAGTACCAATAATCCTGGGCTCCAACCCAGGAAAATTCACGAGGAAATCCTTCGTTATAATAAACTGAAGTGACAGGATGATGTAAATTCTTCTTGTTCCTTTCTGAAACGTAGAGGATGGCGACACTATAAGCACAATATAACCATTTATGACAGCTTGACACAAAATAGTCAGGATCAAGGTCTTTTAGGTCAATTGGAATTTGTCCAACTGATTGAGCACCATCAACCACAGAAAGAATATTGTGTTCTCGTAAAATTGTTAATATTTGTTTTAAAGGTAAGATAACACCTAAAAAGTAGGTTAATATTTATTAATACATAATATAAATAAATGGAATATTTTCATGTTTAACCAACCAGGGATGGACGATATGGCATCAACAAGTGCCAGCTTGATTCTTGAATTTGGCTTTTGTTGTTCTTCTTGAATAACTTTAATGATATTGGAAATTAATTCTTCATCGGAAATCGGATAATTAACATCAATTTTCAAAAGTTCCAGTTTATCATAATTGAGATTACGAATAAATTGCAACAAGTTTTTCACGGCAGTATGATTCGTAGAAAAATAAATTATCTATTGAATATAATTAATATATACAATATAAAAAAATGTAATAACCCTACTTTATGCCTTATCACTTTTACACTTTTAAACACTTACTTTGTCACCCGATTCATAAACTAAACTTTTCAATACAGCATTTATTCCAGTAGTGCTATTTAGCACAAAAGCAACGTCATCCGCATCTGCATTTACAAATTCGGCAATTGCATCTCTAGCCTTAGTTAATTCTATTTCGAGGTTTCTTCGAATCCATAAATCAGGATTGGATTCAAACTTTTCCTGATAGCCACGCAATGCTTTTTGTATAGCCTTAGGATAGGCACCGAATGATCCTTGGTTGAGAGGAATATAATCATTTTCTAAAAGAAATTTCGAACGCCAAGAACGTCCAAATTCTATGGTTTCGTTTAGATTGTCCATGAGAGATGGATGTTAAGATCATCTCATAGTACATTGAACATTTATGCATTACGTATACTGTATTTATCAAATTTTTCTCCATATATGTCTAGCAATAATCATTCGTGATTCTTACAAATACTATAGATCACTTTCTTATCCTTGAGAAGCATTAAATCAATAAGTATATCCTATTTGTCATTTTAATTTTTTTTTAAATTAAATAATCCATTTAAACTCAATATTTCCTTTTGTGCTTAAGATCATATAACATACTATACTACGTACAGTATCAATTTGATATGTAAACATATCTATACTTTATATATATATATTATACCTATAACGATAATTTATTTATTTATACGTATATATCAAATATATCCGCGATACACATACACATGATATTTGTAATGACGCGGCTTAGACTTTATAAAATGTCTAAGCAAATCTGAAAAGCCATGGCTTGTAACTGTTTGACTCAAATTTCATTTAATATTAACCGTTATGATTGTACAATTGCAGTACAGTACATACTTAGCAGTCATTTGAAAGTTAGTCATACAAACACTCCGGGGTCGTAAGAATAGAATTAGGATAAAGATGACCTTATTTACCATGAATATACAGTATACAATAGCTAAGGAGGCATCCCCCTACTGTTACTATTATCGTCCATAACTTGAATATACATCGATTCCATAAATAAATTATATACGTATCACAGTATATTAAATAAATATTCAAGATATTCGTTTATTCAATTACAAGGCAAGTTTTCCTTTAAAAATTGGGCCATTTTTATATTTCCTCTTAGCATATATATTTGATTGATAAGCTGACACATTAGGAAGAATGTATATGGCTCAATTTTGTTTACAGATTGCGCCCATTATTTTAATCATTCATGTTTTATTTACAAATGCATTCGCAGAGAATCTTCAAAATTCCCAAATTTTAAAAAGAGATACCAATACAACAAATACGACGAATGCAGCTACTACTAATAATACATTATTATGCAATGGTAACGCTGATCTTTGTGACTTACGGTATAACCAAGTGGTATATTATCTTGATTTTCTTTTATCAATTAGTATGATCTTGAATTTTATTTTATCATCTCCTTTATAATTGATTAGACATATCCAGGAACTCACAATAGCGCGTCATACAATCTTAAGTTCGATTGTAAAACTTCAGCAAAGAGCTGTCTAGAAACAACAGTTGCTTGCCAACAAGAATATTTTGAATGCACTAAATACTATAAAATTCATTGTGAAGCACAAACATCAATTTGCAAAAGATGGAAACCAAAATACTTGCATTGGATGTGTAATATATTGGATAATACTTGTAAATCAACCAATGCTTGGTGTGTGGTCTGGCTTTTTGGCTGCACGGAAACTTCAAAGATTTGTAAAGCATGGGCAAATACTTGCGAATCTCCCATACCAAATTGGTTGATTACGTGTTTATGGGAAAATAACGCTGGTTATCCTGTGTTAAGGCAACTCAATGATGGTATTTTGACCTTATTCTCTGCACGATTTGATTCAAATCTTTATTTTTAATACTTATATTTGATATTATAGGTATTCGTTTATTAAATTTTGAGATGTGCCTTAAAGATGATAACAAGACGGTAGTATTTTGCCATGGTCAAGGGTTATATCGCGCGGAAGGTCTTGAACTTGATCCTGTGTTTACAGACATTAAAAATTTCATGGACCAAAATCCTCATGAAATAGTAACTCTAGAGTTTGGACATGTTAATGATTTGAGTACAACATATAATATAATTGCAAACTCAATTCAATCACGCCTAGAAAAATATTTTACGAATTCCACAACAGGTCGTCCTCAGATGTTAATAATCCCTTCTGCGAGTCCAAAAAATGAAAGTGAATGGCCAACTTTACGTCAAATGATTGAAACTGATCAAAGAATTGTAATCTGGTTCGAAGAGTTGTATGATGCTTTAGGGAACGATAGGAAACCTTGGATTAATCACATAGATCCTTATTATGTACCATCGTTTTCATACACCTCAGATGCTTTTACTGCACAACAATTAAATGCAAGTTTTACTCAATACTGTAAGAATTCTACTGCATTGCAAGCTAATGATCTGAAAGTTTATGGATACACTAGATGGCAAGCTATTGATGATACGTAAGTTACTTATAAATGCTTTTCCCTAACATTTGAGTTTTTTTTTTTTTTTAACTAAGATGTGCATCATAACTTTTAATGGTACAGTGTTGGATTAGTGCCTGTAGGAATTGAAAATGCGGTGCATACTCATACGTTAACTGATATGTTGTGTTTAGATGACCTAGCTAATGTTGTAAATTATGATTTGTTAATGTACATTGTTGATACTTGCAAAGAAAAATTTCCTTATATCTTTAGAGTTAGATTGGATTATTATTCTCAAAGTTATTTATTTCAAGCAGTGAATAAGATGAATGAATATAATATCTTAAGAGTTAAAAATAATACTAAATTTCCCTGATTAGCGGTAGGGTTTGTACATTTTAATATGGAAACTATTCCCTTTAAGAAAGAAGTCCAAAGATGTAATATAATAAATATTGTAATTATTAATATATGATAATGATATTGATACGTATTTTATGACAATATAATATATGAGTGTCGTCAAAGGAAAACCTACAACTCTAAAAATAGATTATGATTTTCATAATAATCTATTTTTAGAGTTGTAGGTTTTCCTTTGACGACACTCATATGATGATTCCACAAAGACTTTATTACTATATTATTGAAAAATAAATACGGCAGCTTATGCTGAATTATTTATTTATTTTATTATGTGGTCTTTTTTGTGGTTTTGTTTTTTTATAGTAGGTTAGGATTTAGGATTAGTCTTAGTAGAAATTATAGAGCTAAATAGGGATCCAAATCTCGATCTTAGCATGAACTGCCACAATGTTTCATACATTTTTTACTAGTTTGTTGGTCCTCTTGCTGGAGAAACGTGCCAAACTACTACAGGAACTAGAGTGTCCAGAATTATGAGCCGGTCATTTCAAAATTATGCGTGCGGAAAATCCCAATTATGCCCCTTTTTCATGCTGTAAACACGGGATCTCTCTCAATTAAACATGGATTTTTTTAAATTTCTAGACTGTTTGTCATAAATGCGAAGTATGTATATAACCGAAATTTCTCTTTTTTTCGACACAAACCCACTGCTGTATAATTTACCGGGTCTTTTGTAAGTTCTTTGTTGGTCAGTGCGCTACGGTAGTATTAAAAATCACAGTTTTTCTGACCAATCAAATTTCAAGATCAGGAGTAATGCAGCGCGATCAAGAATATTCAAAACAACGTTCAAGTCTATGAAACTCGCTTCTACGTATTATAAAAAATTTCCTTGTAAATTTTGGCATAAATAATATTTTCGAACCCTAACCTAATGGCAAGATCCTATTCCTAATATTGTGTTGGCATATTGTCATTATTAGAGTTCCGCATGGGCCGGGTATTTCAAAATCCAGATCCAGCCCATATTTAATTGGATAGATCCAAGCCCAGCCCATGACCACATGGTACAATCCATGGATCCAAATAGCACAAACTGTAAACTGCTTAGTTTTAAATTAAGTTTGGATTCGTAATTTTGGCCAATCAGATTAACTATGGACTATCCATGGGTTTTTGGACCTGGACTCAATTATCCATGGTCAAAAATTTTGGACTAAACCCGGCCCATATTGGACCAGTCCATGGATGCTCCATGGATAGTCCAGCCCATGCGGAACCCTAGTCATTATATCAACGCTACAAAAAGCTTAGCTGGTATAATCAATAACTGTTACTACGTTCGGAAAGCATAGCGGGCTTTATTATGATTGGCTGATTCGTAGATCATCTTATCATAGTAAAGTCTTATTAGAGTAACGATTTGCAGTCACAAGAATGGATTCGGAGCCACGAATACGAATTCGGAGAATGTAAGACAAAAAAAATTCGAAAGTTCACGTCTTGCTTAATTAACTGTCAAAGTAATTCAGTAATACGTGAAGTAATTCGGAAGTTAAATGAGAAGCGTTTTTTCACTTTCATAGGTACTGCTTTAATGAGAATGTCGAGAGAACTGTACAGCAAGAAGCATTCTCAAGTTTAAACCTGACAAGAACTTAAGCTAAGTAACATAGACATAAAACATTTAGTTTTGGTAGTAAACGAAGATATGGATTATT